TAGGGACCAAATCAATCGGATACTGCTCGTTGAACATCTCTAGAACACAACCCCGATGAACCCTCGATACCCAGACAGATCGATCGTTCGCAATCTCAACCTCTAATGGGCAATCCAGCTCTTCCGGAGCACCAACAAACCTCTTGCTGAGCGCAAGAGATACAAAAGATCGGATAGCCCCCGAATCAAACAATACCAAGGCAGAGATATCGTTCAAGAGGAACGATCCTAAAACAAAACACACAAATATAAGCAGAAAATCAACATAAATAAAGGGATAAAGAGAAGATACATATCCATCACCACATCAGGTGCTACGCGAGCCTCCTCGGATGTCAGCTGAAAAGCCCTGCTCCTCACAAAATGCGCATCCGCCTTGCCCTGGCGGCCATCAGTAATCTGTAGAGTCGTTGGAGCAGGTGCTACCATTGGTCCCGTTGCTGCCAAACTCGGGTAATTGGCCATCTTATGGCCCTTCTGATTGTAATAGAAGCAAATCAGGCCAGATGTCTGGGTGGTGGTAGTAGCAGTGCAATCCTTGCTAATATGACCTGTCTTGCCACACTTGAAGCGGCTGGAACCACCCACCATGCACGCCCCATCGTGCACCTTGTCGCACTTGCCACAACGGCCCGAACCTTCTGGTCTCACGATCTCGAGTCAAAAACCTTGGGCCTCTTGCCCGAACCTTCTAAGCCCTGAACCTGATCCGGTTTCCTCTTCCTCTCCATCTCCAAGTCAATCTCTCTCTCTCTCCCTGGCCGATCCAGTGTCCTGCAACTGGATCGGCTTACAAACTCCCGGATATCACTCCTCAACATCTCATGCTACCTTGCCTTCTTCATTTCCTCATCCTCCACATACTGCAGAACCAGCAACGCCTTCTCGCAGAACATAGCGGTGATCTCAGCCACCGTCTCAGTAGTCTGGCGAAGGTCCTGGAACTCTCTCGCCAATTGTTGGACCTCAATCACAGGTGCGAACTCGGCCCAAAATCTCGTCACAAAATCCTCCCAAGTCATGGACTCAATCGCCTTGCCTCCCAAGGCATGTCCTACCTCCTCCCACCAGTACCGGGCTCTATCTTTCAGAAGACAGGAATCAAGTCTGACCTTTGCCCCATCGTGACAACTGCTAGTGCGGAAGGCATTAGCGACATCCGCTAACCAACGTTTGCTCGCGATCGAGTCCTTCTTCCTGGAGAACTCCGGGGTCCCACATGCCCGAAACTCACGGAAAGTCAAAGTGTGAGCTCTCGTCATCGCTACCATCTCAGAACGGAATGAGCCCAAGCGCTCCTCTAAAACCACCATTATACCCTCCTTGATCATACCAAAGATCATAGGAGTCTGCTCGAGTATGTTGTGGGTAATCTCTGACGATATGAACTCCCACATCTGGTATCATCGTAGATTTCCTTGACTCGAGTATGGATCCACTGCTTTCAGTAGTACGGGCCCATATTGCGTTCCACATCTATCCGTACTTTCCTCAAGGATCGCTTCGAATTCTCCAAGTCACTTCCTTATCCATACATACAATCCTCAACAAAACAAGGCTCCCAACATTAAATCTCTTCCTATGTTTTCCTAGGGCAACTACCACACTACTCCCCGCCATCAGCTGCGGAAGGAACTCCCCCTAACATCCTCTAACTAGCTCACGAATACAATTTCATATCATCGACACCAGATAATTCTTCGAATGAAAGGTATCACACTACAACGGTTTGACTCAAACAAGAGTTCCACAATAGAGTTAAAACCTAACCTTCTAAAATTATTTAGCCTCAACAATATGTAACTTAGCATATTCGCTTACTAGTTAGCTGAAGTTAATGGGAACTCCTAAAAGCACAAAACATGCAGCATTCGAGCATCGAGTAATCAAAACAAGCATAACCTAAACAGGTAATCCTATCTCTGATTGATCAGTACTCGCATTCAAGTCTACAAGCTCATCAATAGGCATACAAAGGCATCTCTCCTAGAATTCTTTCATGCAAATCGTTAACAAATCCTTAGCCCTAAACTAGCATGCGATTCACAAATTCACAAATCAAAGCATATCATAAAACATGTATGGGTATTTTGGGAAAACTTACTTGATCTCGGTCAATTGCATTCACCACACCCCTTTTCTTTTATTAGAAAACTATTTTATAAAACATTTCCTTTTGAAAAAAATTCACCAAACCCTCAGTTTGAGTTCAGACACACCCGAGAGTGTGCTTGAATCTCTCAAACCAAGACTCTGATACCAACTTGTAACGTCACAAAAATCAAGACCAAAAATTTAAAATTTTAGAATAATAAAACCATCTTTCAAAACATGTTCATAAAACCATAATAGAATCAAAGTATATCTAAAACACCCAAATACATCAGAGTCAAATAAAATACGGAACAATGTGGTGTGTGCGATGCGATCAGATCCGAAGTACCTGAAACATAAACTTAAAACCGTAAGCACGAAACTTAGTGAGTTCACCAAAATACCACATACCATACATATCAAACATATAACGTGCCCCACTCGGAACAGATCTGTCAGAAATATGAGATAGGCCCCGCCTCATCACATTCATCAGGCCCCATCTAGCATCGTGCCCCACCCGGTATACATATAAAATATCATACATGCAAGAGTCACACAGACAACTAGCATCCTAATCGTAATAAATCATGGGTCAGCATTGGTGCCTTTGACCCGCAAAGCAAAGTGAGGAAACTCACCTCAAATTGTTGAACCTCTTAGATAAATACTCAGACTGTTGATATGGAAAAATCCCCGCGCTAACACCATCAAATAATATCCAATCAGTAAGATGGTTACAACCCATAACTGGGATCCCAGTTCAACTGTCCAATACTCATGGTAAAAGACCATTTTACCCCTTCCTAACTTAGCCTAAAATCTGAGGCCCAATCCAATAGTACCAAAAATCCCAATATGGCCCAAAGCTCTAAAAGATTCCCAAAACTCATTATGGGCACAAACACAAGAAGGCCCAAAGCCTATAAATGGCTTAAAGTCAGAAGGGTTGATGGCTCATCAAGGCCTAAACTCCATTAGTCCGAAAATGACCCAAAGTCGCAAAATCCCAATCCATTTCCGGTATGTTGCGCGTACCAGACGTACGCCCAACGTACTAGGTTGCATGCATGTCGCGGACACAGGCACGTACGCGCATCGTACTCTTGAGTACGCCCAGTGTACGCGCCTGATAAGCACTTTTTCTGCTTAATACTTGCCTTCCAACATCCAAATTTCAGATCCAAGTCCAAAAGAACGTCTTAATCCATAAAGTCGTGAACTTGGAGCCTTCGCATGGCTCAAAAGGACCCAAACCTCACTTTTAGCACTCTACTTTCGGCATAATGACCTAAACAAATGCATGGTTGATCCACAACCATCAAGGTGCTAACTTTATGGACTAAGGACCTCAGAAACATCAAAAGAAGCAACTCCTAAGTTCTAGAGTGGAAAGAATCCACTAGATCTCAACATATGACCAAAATGGGACCAAAACTTCATAAAGACTAGATCTAAGCAAACAATGAGCAAGTTCAAAGCTTTATACCTCAATGAAGCTGGAAATGATGAGAGAAATTTGGATCTACAAGCTCAAGCCACACCAAAGCAACCTCTAAGTGTTCTTCCTTCAAATCACCAAAACTCACTTCCAAGCTCAAATCTCACAAATGACAATTAGAGTTTCGATCTTAGGGTTTTGAGGAGTGGAGGCTGAACATAATATGCACCCAAGGCAACATAAGTTGCTTAAATACGGCACAAACCCTAAAAATTAGGGTTTGCCCCTGCTTAGCGTGCGTCCAGCGTACGTGGGTGCCTCCGCATCTAATATTCGAGCTAGTACGCTCAACATATTCATAGAGTGCACCTAACGTACTCACTTAGGGACCAAAATGAAAAGAATTTAACAAATAGGGTATAAAAGGAACATACCCCTAAATCGTGAATGTTACATACACACTGTAGAAGGAGCTAATGGTGGCGACGACGGTAGTAGTGGTGGTGTTACTCAAACGCATCCTGCTGTGATTCACCGGTCAAATCCGACTATTTCGTAGAATGTGCAGGATATGAATCAGGTTATTGCTTCTTCTTTTTTTATTATATTTCGATTTAGTTGTTTGTTGGGATTTTAATGCTAACAATTTCATTTATTATATGTCTGGTGCAAGAGATCTGGAACATGCCTAAAGACGATCTGATGCAATTCATAACCCATAATAGCAACGTGCTTCCATTTTTTTTACATAAACTATCAATGTATTGTCCATGGTACCATTGTATTCGCATTTTGTTCACACCAAACATAAACTGTTAATGATTGCAAAATTTACTTCTACTTTATTTCATTTTTAAGCATCGTACTTTTAGAGTTAACCAATTATAGCGTCCTACTTTCGTGACCCACCAAACATGTAAAGAAAAAACCAGATTCACTAGTTTACAATATTTGTGACTTGTAAGGCTGTGTGTCTTCTTTGTTTTGTTTTGGACAATTTTGCCGCTATAGAGTTTCGGTTAACTATCAAATGGATTTTACTTTTATTGGTGGAAATTTTACAATTCATGTCACAGAATGCAATGCTATTACTGATCAAAAAATAAAAAAATCTATTATAGTTTATAGGACTTTGGGATTGACTTTTGAGAAGAACGGTGTACATGTTTATCAATAGCGTTGGTCATATTAATATGGATATTTGATACGTGTTACCATTCTATAACTAAATTATACGTTGTTTTTATCAGAATATGTAACTACATAATGTTTCCGATTACATGATAGTTTGTTTTCAAAACTTTATTATTTAGAAATCCATTTTCTTATTCATAATAATAATGAATTAAAGTATATCTACGTATTTTAATAAATTCTAGCTTATTACGAAATTGATAAAAATAATGAACTTACAGGTACATATATGTAGATAGCTCATCAAACCCTTTCATAATTACTTTTTTAATCATCCTTTTCGTTCCTTAATCTTGACCGGAAACCCACCTTTCATTTTGGAGGTCAAAGCCGCCACAAAAACTGGCTCACTACCATCATCCACCGCAGGAACCACCATAAACTGCCGTAAAACGCCTGCCACCACTCGCTTCATCTGCAAAAACGCCATATCCTTCCCCAGACAAATCCTCGGACCCGCCTGAAATACTGGATATACATACGGATCCCTCGCCCTAAACTTCATCTTCTCCGCCGTATCATCCTTTTCCAACCATCTCTCCGGTCGGAATTCCATCCAATTTTCCCCCCAAATGCTTTCCATTCTTCCCATTGCATACGGATGATAACTCACCATCATACCTTTCTTCACGACGGTCCCGTCCGGCAAAACGTCGTCGGCGTTCGCCAGCTTCGAGTCCACCGGAACCGGCGGGTAGAGCCTCATGCTTTCACAGAGACTAGCATGAGTGTAAACCATATCCTTCACTTCATCGTAAATGGGGGAATCTGATTTCTCTTTGACTTCTTTCACAACTTCACTTTCGATCGCCGGGTTCTTGTAAAGTAACCAGAAGAACCACGTCAAAGCCGCCGAGGTTGTGTCTCTTCCGGCGAGTATGAAGCTGATTACAATATCCGTTACAAGGTTCTCATCCAAATGACCCGAGTTCAGAAATCGTGATAACAAATCAACGGGTTCGGTCGTGAGTTCTTGTTTCTTTTCGTTCAATATTTTCGTGGTAAACCGACGAATCTCGGCAACTGCTTCTTTAAGTCGTTTCTCCGATCCGATGTTTAAAAACCTTTTGAACTTCCAAAACAATGGCGTAATCGTACGGAATCTCTCACTGCTAATACGAACAGCGTCTTCGAAAGCAACTGCAAATTTAGCTTGTGGCAGCGACGGGGTTAAGTAAGCAGGATCATACCCAAAGGCGATTCTGCAAATATTATCAAGCGCAAATCTTTGAAGAATGTCTTGGAGATCAAGAACAGTATCATTAGCAGCAGCGGTGGTTAATATTGGGATTAAACGATTGTTAAGTTCATCATCGACCACATGTTCGACGAAATGGCGAAGAGACTTTGTGTTAAATTCATGGCTGGAAAGCTGTCTCTGGAACTTCCATTCGTCACCATCGACGTTAAAGATTCCATCTCCGAGCAGATCGAAGAGAGTTGACCGGAAAATATCACCTTTTTGGTATGTTGAGAATTTAGTCTTGAGGATATGCTGAACGTTTGCGGGGTTTCCGGTGAGCACACGTTTTTGACCGAAAGGACGGCGGACCACGAAGGTGAAGCTGGGGGAGTTGTGGATAGCGTCGGAGGTCCACTGTGTAAGACGGTGGCTATTGGCGTAGATGGAGAGATAATTGCCGATGAACGGGTATGATTTGGGTTGTGAGTTTTCATCGGAATCGGTAAGAAGTAGTTTGAAGAAGATGAAAAGAAAGGGAAGAAAGTAAAAGAGAAGTGACACTTCGAACATTGTTGTTCAGTACCACAATTTAATGATCGAATGAAAAATTGTTAAGGTTCGATATCTATTTATAGTAATTTATTAATTTCTTATGTCAATCATATCTCTAAACCATAACTTCAAGTAAAAAGCAACATTAGATATTAAAACCTTTAGTATAAATATTTTAGTATAAATATTAGGTGTGAGACGCGGTATAATATTAGTGAAAATTATGTATTATTTGTGTAGTAAACATGTTAATTATAACAAAATGTTAAATATTAATGTTTAATCTTAATTTATTAGAAATTGAAATTTGAAATTTAAGATTAATATTGTTATTATGGTCTATTTCATTTATGGAAACTAAAATTAATATGAAAATAAAAAATGAAAGTAAATGACAAGTGACAAATGGAAAATATATATCTCTAAATTACCACAATGGAAAATATATATCTCTAAATTACCACAAACTCACATTAGAAATACTTCTTTCTTATTTATTTATTTATTACTATTATTTTTTTATCAAACCAAAGACCTCGATAGAGAAGAAATAATACTTTTTTTTTTACATTTCAAATAGCATTATATATATATTTTTATACATAATAATTTATGTTTTATAAAATTATATAAAATAATATTTTAATTTATAAATTGTTATGTATGAAAAAAAATTATTATCTTTAATTTTAAAATAATACTAGTTTAGTAAATATTTAAATAGGTTTTTAAATAATGCTTTTTGAATATAAAATTTTGTTTAGCAAAAAAAAAAATCCTATTTTGATCAATAACCGGCATAACTAAAGGAATGACCGTTTTTATGTCGATTTTTGTTTTAAGAAATAGACAAAAGTTAACCAAATCGTTAAAACAACTATCAATTTTGCGGCGTGAAATCGATGAGATTATCCACAAATTATAGTGTTATATGCAATTAAGCATTTTGTAAAAGAAAAATAAAAAAAATAAAAAATAAAATAAAATACCACTCACAGTTGACATTTGGAACTTGATTTCTTCTGCAAAAGCCAAAAATGACCATTTTGAAGATGTCATTGCAAACTCGCAAATTTCATTTGCGAAACTTTCAATTGCGAAACTTTCAATACATGTGATTACATTCAAACTTATCACTTTATTTATGAATTCAACAAATCATATTTTATTTTCCAACTATTTATTTGAGTAATATATGAAGTTTGTTTTAATCTTAACATTCTTTTATTCAAAGTAATACGAGTTAATTTGATTTTTTTCCATTGTGAAAATAAAGATTGTCATAGTAGTTGTGACATCTTTATTTTTATGGTTTTTTTTAAAACTTTTTAGTTTATGTTTATTTAAAACATTTATTATTGTGGAATTGGTCCAAAAATATCATTGACATAATATAATATCAAAATCAAGACATTTCAGACAAAATTTTATATTTTAAAAGTCTGAGATGTCATAACTAATACAAGAACGTAAACATAAACATGTCTTACATCAATATTTTAGCAATCTACGAACACCTTAAATCTCTCAGCAGATAATTACATTATCTATTAGTATATTCGTATCGCTACGTGTGATATATAGAAACTGAGTGAGTTATGTTGCGAAACCTGGTGAGCACATATGGTTTTCAACCCACAATATTATAATCTTTAATTATATAATATTCAACATTTAAATAACTCGGGTACCTTATTCTCGTTTTTCTCACTTCCTAATCTTAAATCTCAAGAGATCTTTTCTAAAGGATATTTAACAGCAGTCATCTATATTTCCTTGAGTAATTAGGTACAACAGTATGACAATACCTTGTACACCGCACGGTAGTCCAGTAGTAGTACTTTGGGTAAACACGGCAGTACGATAGTACTTTTGGTGTAGACACAACAAGTACAATGGTACTTTGGACAGACATGACAATACAATAGTACTTTTGAATAAACACAACAAGTCACGACTGATATTTTCGCACAACACTCAGTAACATATCACTGTCATTATCTTACATAGCCCTATCACAACCTCTCATTTATTATTTTACACAACCCATTACTACCCAGTCATATTATTAAGTATAACATACGATTAGATAAAGTAACGATCATATCATGTAGTACGAATATATTAAACATAGCAAAAACAACGCACATAGCATTTAAGCATATATGATACTTGTATTTATGTGTAAGTTTGAAAGTAACCATGCACTCACTTGTTAAAGTTATGATTTGGAAATCGGACAACGCTTCGCTTTAGCACTTAGCTTTTCCTTTTATGTGACCTAGTATAAGGGGGTGTTTGGATAAATTGGATTATAGCTTATTAGCTTATTTGCGGTGGGAATAAGCAATAAGCAATAAGCAAGGAGAGGAGATACTTATTAAAATCAGCTTATTTAGCTTATCCCTACGACAATAAGCTGATTTTTAAGGATTCTTATCCAAACACTTAAACTTAGCTTATTGTGGTGGGAATAAGCAATAAGCAATAAACACCCTCTTTTTTCCTTATCCAAACACCCCCTAATTGTCACTAAGTCTTAGTCTGATATTACTTATGACTAATGATAATATAGATTCCTCAATAATCCTAATGTCTACTAATCTATAGTTAAAAATGGACAACCAAGTAAGATCATATCGGAGGTAGGGTCAGTTTGGTATACAGAGTATACCGTTTGAAAATCCTACTTTAAACACCTCAATAAATCCAACCTAGACATCATCCCCGTAAATAGATCTATCAATAATATGATGTTAGATTTACTGATAAGTCTTATTTTTAAATTCATAACAACAACTATGAATTTAAATATAAATTACACTAAAATAATATAGAGTGTAATTTAACTTACAGAGATTCCCTAGACAAAAGTCCAGAAATTGTATTGGCAGAGCTTCTACTCAAAGGCTACTACATGTCGAACACTCAGGGGTCACAGGGCTTCGCGGTATACTAAAAAATAAGGAAATTTTTGTTGAATTAGGTGTCTAAACCTATAACTATATTTGGTATGTACTTGAATTGATAGTAACATAGTCCTTTTGGGTTGCCTTCACACTAGTAACTAGATAGGATGATTAATTGAGGAAGAGGTTGAATTTATTATTTGGAATAATAAATTAGTATATAAAATGATTTATTAATATGTTATGAAAATAATATATTAATTAGAAATCATGTTGTTTAATTAATATTTAATCAAAAATTAATTTGGAATTAATTTTGGGATTAAAGGAATTAATTAAAAGTTCAGCGGGTGTTTTACAATTAATTAATTGTTGCGGTTTGGGCTCTTGGATCGCCCTAAGAAGGGTTGGCCGAAAATCTTAGGGAGGCCCTAAGGATTTTCGTCCATGGCCTAAAGAAGGGAGATCCATGGGTTGTTTAGGCCTTAAGCTGGAAATTAGGGTTTCCAACTTCAAACCCTTTGGGACTAAGCAACCTTGACTACAAAAGGAGCATCACCCCTTTAGATTTCGGCCATCCTAAGAAACCCTAGAAGAGCCTAAATTTTGAGCAACTCCCTCCTCTCTCCTATCTCTCATAATCATCCTCTTGCTTTGGTGTGTTTGTGAGCCATTAGAGGTGTTACATTTGTGGCACTTGTTCTCAAAGTCAAGATCTTCAAAGGATTCTATTGCTATTACTACATAACAATAAAGGTATGTATTTAAACCCTAGTTTTATGTTAATTTTGAAAATTGTACATGCATCATAGGGTTTCTAGTTTTGTGTTCAATGCTTGTATGTCTAATAGAGAAAACATAGATCCAACAATTAGGGTTGCATCCACACATATGATTGTTTGCTATGTATAAAACCCATCTGTGGTATCAGAGCAATTGGTTTTTGTTTTCAGTTATATTTGATTCAATTGATTGAATTTGACAAAATTAGGGTTTATGGAAATTAAACCATAGGCCTTGGATTTTTCGCAATTAGAGTTTCATAACCCTGTTTTTCAAAAATTGCTAGGGGTTTATAAATCCTTTCCTTTGGCCTCCATATTTTCGAGATCTAGGCTTTCCTAACCCTAAGGTTTTCGAAAATTAGGCAAGGTTGAAAGCCTTGCCTTCCACCCCAAGTCATGGATTTCGAAATTAGGGTTTTGGGTGGGTTGTTATATTTGGTAATTATCTTGTTAATTGTTTAATTGGATAATTAAAGATTTTGGTATATCCCTCCCAAAATTTTGAAATCTAGGGGGTAAGGGATTAGGTTAAATTAATTTGTTTAATTTAATGGATAATCCTTATTTGATTTAATAAATTAGTTAAAGGTTTAATTAATAGATAATTATTAAATCAAAGTTTTTAAATTTTAAAATTGAAATTAAATTTGTTTAATTTTTGAAATTTTAAATTGATTTAAAACCCTAGTATTTTGAAATGTTTTAAATGCACCCTTATACTATATGTAATATTAAAGGTTTAAATATTTACTATACGTATAAGACAAGTTAGTCGAACCACTAGTACACCTCATTCACGAAGCCGATCTATAAGTGGGATATAAGGAAACTGCCTATAAAATGACGGTTGAATGGGTGTCCACTCTCACCTACCGCTTCCTTAATTGGTGGAGGGTCGTTAGCCGAACGGGTTTGATAGGACACTTAATTCTCATTAATAACTATAATGGAATAAATAAAGTAACTAATGTTTTTTTATTAAATTCCCAATCTTAGTTACTTTAGGAAAATGTGAATTTGATGCTAATCCATGAAATTGCACATTGCACTTTATAAAAAGTCGTTAGTGGAGCGTGTGTGGTTAACCGGCACACTAATATGAACTAATAAAGGGTGGAAATGGGTGTCTCGTAAATTATCATTGATTAATGGAGTGTGTGTGTGGTTAACCGACACATTAATTAGGTGATAAATGACATCGAGAGTACCAAACAAATTTGCATGGTTATTCACATATTGTTTGTGAACCTCGGTATCCCAGTCACAAATGGAAAGGGCATAATCGAGATTAAACATGCCATTGAATAGTTCAGTGAATCTCAAA